ATGGAGAAATGCGTTCACGGCAGAGTCTCTATAAGTTTCAATAACACCAGAAAAAGAGTCGCTAGATTTTCACCAGTTTCTTTTCTGAATAACAGTCTCTAGAGGGTCTGAAAAGTCTGTAAATGTAGCGAGAAAGTCGCTAAATCAGCACCGCTGTGTTCCACAACCCGCCGCCTCTCATGTCAGCGAGCAGCGTGTCGGGTCGATTACGTCATACTCTGAAGCGGTCAAATTATCGTACATTATGGGATTTTTGGGATTATTGATCGTACATCGTACAGAGGGCAAAATTATCGTACAAATACGATAATTATCGTACACCTGGCAACACTGGGTCAGATGCACAAGAACAAACTGTTAGTGTGTTAGTGTGTGCGTGGCAGTTTGATTTAGGGGAAAGTGGCTGCCAGCAAGCACCCAGGACCACACTGAAATCACAGGCATCAGATGCTGGAGCCTCTGGGCAAACTTATTTTTTATTTTTTTTAGCATTTTTTTGTGCCTTTTCTACATCTTCCCTTTTTTTGTGTCTCTCCCTCTTCCAGGGAATGCTGGGATGGCGCAGCTGGAAAAGTGGAGGGAAAAAGTGCTCGCTGCTTATGTAAGAGACTGTAGGTAGGTCAGATGAGGTACAAACTGCGCTGCAGGAGAGTCTGACAGGACACCAGCAGATGGCACCGAACAGCCTGATGGCAGTGGATTTGTCAAGAAACATTAGCTCATTTTTCCAAAAGAGATGAGCAAATCCCATCAATCCAAAGGGGGAGAAAAAAAAATATGAGTTGGATTGCCTTCTATAATCTCTGAGTGTCATTCGTGAGTATAGTGAAGGTAAGTGGAGGTCCATGGTGGCCTCCGAAGCAAGCGGCTTGATTGGATTTGTGCGCCTGGTTTGCCAACAAAGAAAAGCGTCCCTGTAATCTGTTTTGCAGCTGAATGTCTCTGTGTGTTTTCTGTGCATTTTATTGGCTTGTCAGGGACTGAATTGCTTGTTGGATGGAAATAAACACTTGTGAGCATTTTTCTGTCGTTCTTCCAACATCTATGACAGCATGAGAACCAAATCACATTTTGCACATCACACATTTATGTGTGGATACGATTTTCTTCTGTCTTCATTGAAAATGCTAAGAACAAATTACTTATACACACAAACACACACGTTTATATTTCTATTTTGATTATGAAGGTCCGTTGACTTCCATTCATTTCCAGTCATTTCTATAACCAATACGACGTAAAACAACTAGTTTCTTTAAATTCCAGATCACAAAATAGCTACAAATCCTATTTAAAACATCAAAATAACTATTAAAAAACAGGGCTCCAACATTAAAACCAATCCACTAATTCCCACCATGTCTCAAAGCAGTCCACCAATCTCAAACAAACCCCAAAACAACCCATCCTGTCCCTCCACAACGGTAACCATGCCCCTTACCCAACTGCAAAGCATTATGGGTCACCTATAACACAGCATCAGGTAGGCCAGTCTCCCAGCTGATGGACCAACACTGTTATTAATTCCTAAATGTACATCTAGACCAGAAAGCAAGACTAACCTCTGAACTGTAAACAGACACCAGAAGGAATTCTTCTAATAATCTAAATGTTTCTTTTGATTAGATTAACCCCACTGTAAACATCCTACATACACACCTACCAGACCACACCCCCAACTATTCCTGACCCCCCCCCCCCCCCCAATGCCCACC